CCAGGAACTCCAGACTGAAAAGGAGCCCCAGTGGCTTGAAGACGTTTTTGTGAGCTGGGTACTGAAAAGATGGGTTGCCTCCCTCCTCAAAAACGTTTTTTGGGTTTTCCTAACTGTTATTTTCCTAGGTATGTTTTCATGTTTTAAGAAGCTATTCACTAGCTCTCTAGGTGATGCCTTTTTAATAAGTAAAGAAGGGGGAGTCGTGGGGGCGGAGGAGCCCGGCAGTTCTGAGATCCTGGCTTTACCCTGGAGACAAGACACTTCTCTGTAAGAGAGAGTGTAACACTCCCAGGGATCTTTGCGTTAGTTATGATAAACTGTTGTGCTCCATTGGTGTTCCCCCCTGCCGTCCCACCCCGATACATGTATCCCGGTCTTCCCCCGCCCCTCTCTCTCCCTATAAATACCCCGAGTTTTCCCCTGTTTGGCGGAATAGCTGTCGCTGTCTCCCTTCGCTAAAAGCTCTGCCTGAATAAAGGCTAGTGCTTGGCAGAACGCCAGAACAGCTCTCTTGTCCCTTCTTCCCGTGTTGCCTACACACCGCCACTGAGCCAAGCCGCAAGAACCGAGCTGGAATCACTCGCCTAGCCGCAGATGCACCAGCGCTTCGGGCCAGCCCTTTTCAGGGCTGTTTCTCCAGAGAAGTCGCGGCACTCCGGCCCCCTCCGTCGCCGCAGCAATATAAGTTTGGTCCATTTACATATCAGGGTCAATCCTCCAATTACAGCTTCAGGTAGTGAAGTCATTTACCCCAGTTTGCTCCCCCCAATTCACTCTTGTTTATACTTTTCAGGGCCTGAGGCAGTAGGGTATCCTTGAATTTCCGGCCTAGAGGGATTGCTTTTTCTGTCCAAAATGTGAAGACTGTTAACTAACACTTTGTATGGAGTTGAGAGTTATGCATTAATGCGGTACAGGAGTTGAAAAACATAAAGACTAAAATCCTAAGGCAGCATGCCTCCCTATGTCATCTCTGCTGTGACACTCTTGGGGCAGTCATGGGGGAATGCCGAGCCCCTGGGCCATCCTGTCCGTGCCGGCTGTGCCAGTACCAGCCCAGCTCTGGGCACTCAGGATCGTGGTTGCTCCAGGGAGCACAATCCATGGTCGTGTCCCCTCTGAAACAAAGAAGTTTAAGTGTAAAAGCAAAAGCCTGTTAGGCTAATAACAATTTTGAGTCAAAATTGTGAACAAATTGGAAATTTATTTGCCATAGACATGTTCAAAGGAACAACAATTTTCAGGCATTTTTATACACTATAGTATCCAAGATTTTTTATAGATACTCACAAAAGTGCTCCCAATTTATTACACCTTGGTATAGGTGTTTTGTTCTTTTAATATTACCAGAATATGTTGTCTATCTTAGTTTAATGGTTAACCCAGGTTTCTTCCAGCTAAACCATGTTTTATTGGCTGTGCTGGCAGTGATGGTGAAGCATCTGGGTGCTTCTCAGAAACAACTCCCTTTCTGGGAAGAGGTCTGGGATCATTGCCAAAACCTGCCCTGGGCCTAAGGAAGCACAACTAAGCCAAGAATTCCCATTTCTGTCATTCTACCGCAGGCTCACACAGCCCAAGAGAAGGACAGCAAACAGCTGCTTTGTGTTGATTTGGCACAGCTGGGTTTTTTGGTAGCCGAGGAGTGCCACAGAAAGCGGCTCCTGTGAGAAGCTGCTGGAAGCTTCCACCATGTCCGACAGAGCCAATCACTGATGGCTCTGAAGATGGACATGCTGCTGGCCCAATTAGAGAGGCTGGTAACGCTTCTGTGATGACACATTGAAGAAGAAAGTTAAAGCAGTGCACACACAGTTTTTACCAGGGGTGGCGAGGTGCTGCTGCCGGGGCCATCCCGGTGCGGTGTGTGGTGATGCGCCGTGGCCGGGGCCATCATGGTACCTTCAGGCAGCAGGTTTTCTTCTAGTCAGAGAAGAGAGGGAAGTGAGAATGTGAGGGAAAACAACATGGCAGCACCAAGGTGAATGGAAAAAAAGAGGGGGAAGAAGTGCTCCAAAAGTCACAGCTGAGATCCCTCTGCAAGCCGTAGTGAGGACTATGATGAAACAAACTCTCCCCTGGCAGTCCATGAAGTCTGTGGGGAATGCAGAAATCCACTCACAGCTTCCAAACCAGAGCAGCCTGGTCCTTTGGAGGACTGCACCCCATGGTAGCGTGACCCACACCTTAACAGTTTTGTGCACACTGCCCATGGGAGGCACTCACATTGCAACAATTTTGGCAGGACTGCTGCTTGTGAGATTAGAGCCACACTGGAGAAGTTCATGGAGAAGTGTTTCCATGGGAGAGACCCAATGACATAGCAGAAAAAACTCCTCTCCTTGAGCGAACAGAAGATCTCAAGTGACAAACTGATCAAAACCCCTATGCCCCGTCTCCCTCCACTGTTGGGGGGATGGACCTGGGGGGAAAAAGGTCTTTTAAAGTTTTATTTATTTCTCATTATTGTCCTCCGACTCTGTTAATAATAAATTTACTTAATACCATTAAATTTGAACCTTTTATTTTTTACTCTTAGAGTGTTTTTTCTCCCAGTCCTCATCTCAACTCATGAGCCCTTTGTTAATTTTTGTTTCCCTCACACTGTGGTTTTTTTTCACTCCACTGCAAGGGAGGTCCTGGCCAGCCCTGCTGGGCCCCAGCAGAGCTCCAAGGGTCTCCTTTTGGGCCGCTGTTCACAGGGCCCCAAGAGATGGGCTTCAGTCACAACAATGTTTCACCCTGGCCACACTTTGGGCCAGCTGCTTTCTGTGGAAGTGTGAGAACAGGGATGTTGTGCCATTCAGGGATGTAAAATAATTTCCAAGGCTGTTCACCAAACCTCAGCAGGTTGTTGGACAGCAGCAGTTCCTGGGAGCAGAGGGCATTTCTGATCAGTGCCAGAGGACCTGAGCCCAGGGGCTGCTCCTCAAAGCTGAGGCCTCACAAGCCTGTAGGAGACCCCAGTGTGGCCTGAAAAGGGGGTGGGGGATGCACCAGCACAGGGAGGGTGATCCTGTGGATATTTATTGATCAGGTGACTCAAGGAATCCCTCAGCCACTGTCCCAGGGTCCTTCAGCAGAGCAGCGGAGGAGATCAACAGGCTCAGACCACTGTGTCCATGATGGCATCATCACTGAAGGGAGTGTTTTCATTGCTGGGGTCAATGTTTTCAACGTTGGAGGCAGTGTTTTTTTTTGGCTCCTCAAACACCCTCTGGAGGGCAGGTGGGAGAAACACCACGGAGGATGGATCTGCATCTCCCGATGCAGGTGGCTGTCAGGAGGTACGGTCCCAGGTTGTAAGAGAACTACAACAGGTGGAAAAGTGACTCCAAATGTGTTGGGGGCATGACAGTGGAGCAGCACATGTCCTTCTTCAGGTAGAGCAGGGAAGAGAGGACCATGAGGAGGAGGAAGCCACCGAAGGCCAGGTTGATGATATAAAAGGTGGTAGGGTTCGTGCAGAGGACACAGATGTCAGCCCCATTGCTGACCAGCCCATAGAGGCAGATCAGCAGCGTTGACACCATCTACGGTCATATTAGTGACATTGTTCCCACATAAATAGTCTCCTTCCGTGGGTGAGGCGGGAGATGGGGACACAGTGGTCACCTCCATGGATGGGTGCTGGGCAGGCGGTGGGATGTGGCCCCTGGCTGTGGTAAGAGCAGATGAGAGTCAGTTGTTGGAGAACCCAGGGATGGACCACACGACTCAGCAGGACGCTGCAGTGGGAAGGATTTAGTGGAGAGAAGTGAGATGTGCAGGGGAAGAGGGTGGTGGAAATGGTGGCCTGGGAAGAGGAGGTGGGAGGGTTGGCAGGACATTTATCAGTAACATTGAAAATAAACATTTTTAGCTCTCCTGGAACTGTTCATAGCCTAAGTGGCCAAAAAGGTAAAAGAATGCAAAGCTGTTGACATAGGATGATAAATGTGGCTGGAGCCAGCGAAGAAGCAGATAAAGAGGCCTGCAGTGGTTTTGGGACAAGTTCTGTGACAAGAAGCAACAGCGCATGGCCAAAGGAAAAGTTCAAGGCAAGGTCACCTTTAATATTGCAGCATTCAGTGAATATAACCACCAGAGATCACTCTTAAAGAAACTCCAGGAGCATCAAAGGACTTCCAGTAGGAAGTGAATGCATGGAAATCAGTTCTAAGAAAATGGTGTCTATGTACTACGTAAGAAAGACTTTTGAATGATTATGTGTGGTTATAATGACTAAAACCCCTGCAGTAAAGTCTCCCCACAAACAGAAACAATGTGTGTCCTGCTGCCTAATATTTCAGATTAATTTATTCTGTCTGATTTTGGTATCCCATCTGTCCTGGGGTGACTTTATGATACTGGTATCCCCAATCGTCTGGTTTATGTTATATATTAAGTTCTGCACCTTTAAGACTGGCTTTGAGAGCAAGAGAGGGAGAAGAAGAAGCGCGCAGTTTGTGTTAAGGAAAAACATCACTCCCCCACATCTCGCTGCTGGACTGTGGTGTCTGCAGCACGGACAGACAGTGGGACAGAGCTTCTCTCTGGCTTTTAGTTAGTTCTAGCTAGCTGAGGCAGAGGAGTTCCCTGGACCTTTGTTTGTTTTTTTCCCAATTTTCTTGGATCTGTGCAAGCCTGCTCTGGACTGAACACCCAGCCAAACCCCGGGAGCTCACGCCTTTGGCCCACCGGGGCCTGGGCCTCGGCACTTTCCAGCGCCAGAGGGACTGATAAGAACCTGAGCGAGCCGAGCTACACCACATGAAAAGGACTTTTTCTTCCTAGACTTGCCAGCCCATCGAACAGCAAGAGGTTTTATTATTTAATATTACTCAATTTCTGTTAAATAAACAGCTTTTTCCACTTCTCTCTAAGGAATTTTTTCTTTTCCCGGACCAGTTAGTGGGGAGGGGCATTTCCCTGGGGAAATCCCCATTTGGAGTTTTCCTTCCTAATTTGCCCTAAACTAAGACACCATCCAATCCCATCCCATCCTGTGGCTGCTCCCCAGCTTGAAGCGCTGCCCGTTGTGCTCTGCTGCCCTCCAGGTGTGACATTTGGGATCGGCAGCATCCAGACCCTTCCTGACCCATCCGACACCCCAGAGCCGCCTTCCCCCTTCCAGCCCTGCTCCTGCCCCGTGCCACCCAGGACCAGGGATATCTCTGCTGTGACACTCTCGGCAGAGGGGGCGAAGGCAGCTCAGCGTTAACGAAGCTGTTTATTGATATCAGACCACAGTGGGATGCAGGAACCAGGTGCCAGGGGGAATTTTGGCATCACAGCTGTCTGGATCACTCTGGTGGAGTAGTGTTCTAGGATCTGTGAGGGAGGAGGAAAGCCATACTCCAGTGTGCTCCATGCAGGACATCTGTCCCACATGCCCCTGCTCCCCTCTCTTGCAGTAATACAGCAGGGGAGGGTGATCCCGTGGATATTTATTAATCCAGTGGCTCAAGGAAATCCTCAGCAACTGTACTGGTCCATCATCAGTGTAGTGGAGGGGATCAACAATCTGGGACAGCTGTGTCCATGGTGGCATCATTGCTGCTGGCAATGTTGACTTTCAGCAAAAACCCTCTGGAAGAAGAGCCAGAGGGACATGGAGCGGCATCATACTATTATGTACTCAACCCACCATACCCAGAAGTAGATGAAGGGTTTGATGCTGGTCTGGATGCAGGTGAACAGGAAAACCACCTGAGAGGACACCACAGTGTAGCCAAGGTGCCCCATGAAATTGGAGAGGCTGATGGGGAAGGAGTAGAGTGCAGAGAAGAAGATAATGCGTTCGAGACTAGAGGGTTTCTCCTGTGGAGGATGAAAAATGACCATAACGTAGAGGATTGCAGTGGAAATGAGCCAGGGTGCAGCAAAGAGGAGGTGGTTGAGGATGTCCAAGGACATGCAAACCAGCTGGCATTTCACTTGGGAAAGGTGTGGGAAATATGCTATTAGAATGACATCAATGACAGCATAGAAAAAGGCCCAGTGCAGGGGTCTTATCATCATGCACAACTCGCTCAAGTATTGGTAGACGTGGCGCCAGAATATGAAGCTGATGGGCCAGTACCTCTTGATGTTGGTGATCATCAGCCATAACAGCTCTGTGTGGTAGACAAACAGTGACAGCTGGAAAAGCAAGTTCAAGCACCTCAGGGGCACCAAAGTGGAGCAGAACACGTCATTCACCAGGCAGAGCAGGGTGTAGGGGACCGCAAAGAAGAGGAAGAGGGAGTCAGTGGTAGTCAGATCAGCCAGCAAGTCGGTGCAACTTCTGACGCTGAATATCCAGAAGACAGGCACGTTCCCAACCAGCCCACAGAGGCAGATGAACAGTGCCACATTGTGTATGACCATGTTGATGACACTGATTTCACACAGATCACCTCCTTCCATGGCTGAGGCGGGAGGTACGGACACAGTGCTCACCTCCATGGATGGACACTGGGCAGGCGGTGGGATGTGGCCCCCAGCTGTGATGAGAGTGGATGGGAAGTCAGTGCATGGAGAATCCAGGGATGGACAATGCAGCTCCTCACTGGCTCCCTGCAGTGGGAAGGATTCAGTGGAGAGAAGTGCAGGGGAGGTGGGTGGTAGAAATTACGGGGTGGGAGAGGGAAATGGGAGAATTGGGATGTTCAGCACGAGATGCAGAGGGGAAATGCTGGGCAGTGGAGGGAGGAGCTGGGGAGGGCACTGTGGTCACTGGGAGAGAGTGGCAGGAACAGAGAAGCTGCTGGAGGAGAGGAAGGTGGATGAAGGAAAACATTCCACTGACCTGTTCACTGTGGGGCAGCAGCAGGCAAAGGGGGTCTGTCCAGATCAGCGGCACTTCCTGGTACTTCTTGCTTCTTTGGAATCTGTATCCTAAAGTGGATCCCCCCCAGGTCAGTAACATCTGAAAGAAGGAGAAAGTGCCCGGATCACCAGGAGCTCCCAACTCCTGTCCCTCTGGCTCCTTTCCGTGCCCTGTCCTAGTGTTGCTCACCAAGGCTTGGTGGGGTCACAGGGCAGGTGGAAATGGTTTTACAACTTTGGCTGTGTCAGAGCTCCACTCCCTCAGTTATTCATCTTGAATTTTTTTTTTTTTCCTTTCCCACAGAGGAATTGGCTTTTGTCAAAAGGTCCAGATGAAGAATTTTGCAAATGGATCCTCATTTCCATCTGATTAGAAACACTCTTTCCCTACAGAATGTCCCATTCTCTGACTCCCTTCTCTCTCCCAAGAGCTTTCTACCATTCCTCCTTTCTCTTTCCTGAGGGGTCATGGCCCCTCCAGCAGCAGAGGGATGCTGGTGGCACTGGAATGCTGGCAGTGCTGGCAGCACTGATGAGTCAGCTGGGTGCTTCCCAGAATTAGCTCCTATTCCTGGATGAGCTCCGGGATCATTGCCAAAGCCTGCTCTGGGCCCAAGGAAGCACAGTTGAGCTGCTCCCGCTCCCTATCCCTATCCCTATCCCTATCCCTATCCCTATCCCTATCCCTATCCCTATCCCTATCCCTATCCCTATCCCTATCCCTATCCCTATCGCCTATCCCTATCCCTATCCCTATCCCTATCCCTATCCCTATCCCTATCCCTATCCCTATCCCACAGATTTCCCAGATGGCAGCCACTCCCCCACTCTTGAGTGTGGCCTGTCAGTCTCTGCTGTCCTCTGGGTTTTCCGGCAGACCCCCTCCAACCCCCCTCTGATCCTCTTCTGACACCCCCTGCCTGCTCTGACACCCCAGAACCCACCCAGGGCTGGTTTTTGCCCCCTGACAGCCTCAGTCCTGCCCAGCTCCACCCAGGACCCCCGGCAGTGTCTGCTCCTCCTGGCTGTACAGTTCTAGGACCCAGGAGGAAGGAGGAAAGGCCAGCTCCCTGTGCTCTGCAGGAGAACACAGGATGATAAACGTGGCTGGAGCCAGGGGAGAAGCAGATTAGGAGGCCTGCAGTGGTTTTGGGACGAGTTCTCTATCAAGAAGCAACAGCGCATGGCCAAAGGAAAAGTTCAAGGCAAGGTCACCTTTAATATCACAACGTTCAGGGAACAGGACAACCAGAGACCCCTCTTAAAGATCCTCCAGGACCATGAAAGGACTTGGAGAAGAAGGAGGATACATGGTAGTTAATTCTAAGAAAGTGATGTTTATGTGTTAGATAAGAAACACACTTTAATGATTTTATGTGGCTATGGTTGTAAAGTCTCACCACACTCAGAACAAGGAGAGATCCTTCTGTGTGTCCAGTGGAGGTAAAGAATTCCTGATTCCTAATGCTTCACATTGTGTTAGAGAATTTATTTCAGTCTATTTCAATGTCAAAATACACAGGGCAGTGGAGGGAGGAGCTGGGGAGGGCCCTGCGGTCACCGGGAGAGGGTGGCAGGAACAGAGCAGCTGCTGGAGGAGAGGAAGGTGGCACTGGGAGAAAGGAAAACATTCCACTGACCTGTTCACTGTGGGGCAGCAGCAGGCAAAGGGGGTCTGTCCAGATCAGCAGCGCTTCCTGGTACTTCTTGCTCCTTTGGGATCCACATCCCAAAGCGGCTCCTCCCAGGTCAGTAACATGAAGGAGAAAGTGCCCGGATCACCAGGAGCTCCCCATTCCTGTCCCGCTGTTAATTCCCAAGGCTCCCTGGGGTCACAGGCAGTCCGAAGTGATTTTACAACTTTGGCTCCGTCAGAGTTCCACAGCCTCGGGGTTATTCATCTTGACTTTCTCCACCCCCCCTACAAATCAAGTGGTCTAATTCTTTGCTGTGAGAAACGACGCCTCACTTCTTAAAATTTTAAAAAGTTTAATAAACTACAACAAGGGACGAACTAAGTTAAAAGGAACAGCTCAGCCACGGCCAGAGGCTCACCGCCCCCGGCAGTAACTGGCCTTATAGAACCTTAGCGAGCCCACCCCCACATGCATACACATTCCACTCTTCGCACACAGCTCCTTCCTCGTCCCTCCTTCCCGCAGTTTGTGAAGTCCCTCCGGCTTCCGCTCCCCTCCATGGACCGATACAGCTGTCAGAATGAACACAGTACTCGTACTGGAAAAACTCCGCGTCTTAACAGAGCTTCTTTTAAATGTTATAACCCACATAATATTCATTCAACATTTGCGAGAGCCGATCACCGCACCACCTGTTTGTAACATTTGTGAATGGCTCCTCATTCCCCCCTAATTAGAAACACTCCTTCCCAGGACAGTGTCCCATTTTTCAACTTCCCTCTCCTGACAGGTTTCTACCATTCCTCGTTTCTCTGCCCTGTGAGGTCATGTCCCTCCAGCAGCAGAGGGATGCTGGTGGCACTGGAATTCTGGCAGTGCTGGTGCTTCTCACAAACAACTCTCATTCTGGAAAGAGTTCTGGCATCATTGCCAAAACCTGCTCTGGGATCATGGGAGCACCCCTGGGCCATGGACTCCCATTTCTATCACTCCAATGCAGGCTCACACAGCCCAAGGGAAGGACTGCAATCAGTTGCTTGTAGCCAGGTTATCAGCACTTAGAGCCCACCCTAATTACTGCCAATACCCTTGATGATGCAATGAAAGGTATTAGAGACCGGATTTTGGGGTGCTGTGATCCTCTTTACAGCCCTTCATTAGAGTTTATCCTTCTCCTCCTCAGACTTGGGAGCACTTGTGTTTGGTTTTATCTGACCCCACCCCTCTGGGCAACCTGTGCCAGGGCCTCCCCAACCTCACAGGGGAGGATTTCTCTCTAATATCTAATCTGAACCCACCCTCTCTCAGTGGGAAGACATCCCCCCTTATCCTGTCATTCCATGCCTTTGTTCAAAGTCCCTCTCTAACTTTCTAGAAGCCCCATTAGGTCATGGATCACGAGGTGTTTGCATTTGAAAGGATTGGCCTGGTGAGGGGATATGAGATTCCGTAGCTGGGGACACAAACACGGTGTAAGCAAGAAAGAGAGGTGACAGTTCTGGTCCCAGGGCCACCACATGCGCCAGTTTCCAGCAGGAGCATCCCAGATCCCTGAGGCATGTCAGCCTGGGTAGGAATCATCTCACCTCAGCTTTCTAGGAATTCCTTGAATTAATTGTAGGCTGCTGCCTGACTCCCAAGGGAGTGTAGAAGATGACTCAGATGAAACTTGCAACTTTCTAAGGACTGTAGCAAAGAGAGCAGTATTGATTTGACTCTTCTCAGAAGAAATGACATTGCTGAAATCCTAAATCATCCCTCTGCTGTGTGCATGTGCTCCAGCTCACACACAGAATTTACTATTCCATTAATTTTCTTGGAAACTGTGTGGTGAAGGTCCAGTACCACTGAAATTTTGGTATACAAGTGGCAAAATTAGATTTGAAAGAGAAATCATAAGTTTTGTCCTGCAGGGCCCTCTCATTCCACCTATGGAATGAGAGGGGGCAATTTGGCCCATTAAAAGACAAGATTTCAGCATCAGGGTTGCTAAGAGGAGCCTGACACAAACTGCTTTTCCCAGAAGGAATAAGGAGCTCTTGGAACTGTTAACACATGGCTCATTCCAACCCTTGCAGGTGCTAGCCTTAGGAAGAGCTCTGGTATGAGACAGGTACCTGCCCTCCTCATGGACAAGCCAGAGGCTTTAGAATGGGAAAAAGTAAGGAAATGAGACAGTTTTTGACACTGTTTCCCAGGGATAAACCCTGCAGCAAAGCCCAGATGTTGTTTATTCAACAAAATCTGGAGCTGGAGTTACCATGCTCAAAAGAAACAAAAGGAATAAATCCAAATCTGATTTAGGGGTAGTAAGAAAATGAAAAAGATCAGTACATCAGAGTTTATACCCTGGGGCCAAGGCAATGAGGGTTGTTCCATGGGGAATACAGGAACAAGATGGGGCTCTGAGCCATGTGCTCCCGTATTTCTGGCTGAAGTGCCACATCTCTGGGTGCCACATGTCCAGAAGTGCCTCACAGAGCTGTCACCTCCACCACAGTGTCCCCAGGGACGTGGCTCCCCTCGTCACTCCTGCCTTTCTCCTCAAACACCCTCCGCAGAGCGACTCTGACGGAGCGCTGGAAGCGACACCGCCGGCAGCTCCCCACCAGCACATAAATCACTGGGTTGAGGGTGCAGTTCAGCAATGCCAGCAGCAAGGAGGTGTTTTCTGGGAATAAATCACCAGAATCAGGGAGATTGAGGAAAACCTCCATGCAGAAAGGGATGCCAAAGGCGAAGAACAGCACGATGTTGAGCAGGATGGCCACAAAGAGCTTCCCTGGCTGCCGCCTCCGGGAGCCACAGCGCAGCTTGAGAAACAGGAACAGGTTGGAAACCAACATCATGAGAGAAAAAAACGTGGAAATGGCCAGGGCTACACCTGCAAGGACGGTCTCAGAATCTTCTGTATAGGTGTAGGTGACATAGAGGGAGGAAACAAAAAGCCCTGCGAGGGCCCAGAGGGCTCCACTTTATGTGGAAGTCCACGAACCACATGACCACTCCATTCCCCGCCAGCCCACAGAGGGATGGCAGAAGGGTGAGAGAGATAAGCCAGAGACCTTCAGAAGTGAGAAATCACTGATGTGTAGACATGCAACAGCACAAGTTGCTCAGTGCCTCTAGTGACATGTACCTTGTGCTCAAAGATTTCTTCCAACTTCCTTCTGGGAGAAACTTCCAGGAGTTGCACCTTTCTCCATCTTCCTCTCATGGATGGATGCTGAGCCTAAGTTCTCTCCTTATTTCAAGCCTTCCTCTAGCTCCCAATCCTGAACCTCCAGTCTGGACACCCTGGAGAGCACATGGACCTCGCGCATTGACATATCTATCAGTCCTGGGGATGACAAGCACAGGATACAACTCCAAAGGAGATGGAAAACACATAAGAGAGGGGCAGAAAATAAGCAGTAGAATGCCAGTCCCTGTGCTGTGAAAGGCTGAGGTTGTGTGGCAGGATCCCCTTGGAGATAAGAGCGCTTTGGCAGCACCATGTACCCCACAAACCTAATCTCTGAGGAGACACATGCCCAGCAGGGGTGATTAGGCTGATGATTGTGATTAGACAGGCTGGGATTAGAGGCTGTGGGCAAAGCCCTTGTGCAGTCCCATATCTGGGCACTGGTGATTTCCTACAGCAAGTGGACACAAGGACAGGGCTCATCCCCATGGCTGCTGTTCAGGGGCTCTGTTGGCATCTAATGAGGTCTGGAATTTCTCAGGGATTCAGAAAACCCTGTAAAAGCTGAATGGATCAGAGTGGAGTACCCCTTCCATGGACAGGATTTGCCCTCACCAGAGGAGAGTTTTGACCCAGGATTCCCAGCACCTGAAGGGACATAATATTATCTGCGCTGTCCTCTCATTTTCTTTGTTTTAGATCCAGTAAATGATGTTTAATATTCTAAAGCCTGAGCGCCTGCATTAATGGGATCATAACAGATCAGCATCTCCTCATGAAGGACTGGGGGGAGGAGGGGAAGGCAGTGACATGGCTCATCTCTCTCACCCTTCTGCCATCCTCCATCCCTGGGAATGATTTATGTCCCCTTCTGCATTGATGTATGGACCACCTGGCACACACAGTGAAAGCCAGAAGCCCCCTGCATGGTGGGATGACACTGGAGAGTGGCAGAGGAAGGAGGTGATGTGGCCACCTCCTTCTGACAAGATCTCTGTCCAAGACATGTGATGGGAAGCTGTCACTGATGTGGGGAGATTGTGAGAGGAGGCTCTGACCATGGGATGTGATCTCTGGGCCAAGGGCTGCACCCAGGCAGGAGGGATGAGGCAGAAGCACAGACAGTGGTTCCAGCAGCATCCCCAAATCCTTTCTCCTGGTGCTGCTGTGACAGCACTGTTCCTGCTGGAGGTAGGAGTCCAAGGATGAACGGGTGGGAGATGCCTCCTGTCCAGGGTCAGGGCTGGAGAGGTGGGAGCCTGTCCTGGGCACTGCAGGAGTATGGGTTCTTCCTGGGGCTGGTGCGGGCTGTGTGGCCAGATGGGAAGTGCTGGGAATGCTGATGTCCCTTATTTCCCTCTGGTTCCCCATCTCTCCCTAGGAGGTGGTGGGAAAGGGGGAAGGCAGCCACCGGGAGCAGGATCATTCACCATGGAGGAGAACAGCACAACAAACCTCACCATGAACTATACACTTAATGGATCTCTGGACTGGGAGGAGTTTGTCACATCTGAATGCTCGAGCATTCCCTACACCCTGATTGCCTTTGCAGGGGTTTGCTTGGGGATTTCCCTCTGTGGGCTGGCAGGGAATGGAGTGGTCATGTGGTTCGTGGGCTTCCACATAAAGCAGAGCCCTTTCACTGTCTACATCCTAAATCTGGCTGTTGCTGACTTCTCCCTGCTCCTCCTGTTTCTCCTGCTGATTTTGGCATTTCTGGCCTTAGCAGTATTTTGCACGTCTTTGCTTCCTTTTATTCATCACTATAGGCATCTTGTGTTTGTCCTTGGGTTCCCGTGCCACCTGTTTGACCTGAGCAGCCTGGGGCTGCTGGCAGCTCTCAGCATGGAGCGCTGCATCTCCGTCCTCTGCCCCATCTGGTACCGCTGCCACCGTCCCCGGCACCTCTCGGGCATCGTCAGCAGAGCCCTCTGGGCCCTCGCAGGGCTTTTTGTCTCCTCCCTCTATGTCACCTACACCTATACTGAAGACTCTGAGACCGTCCTTGCAGGTGTAGCCCTGGCCATTTCCACGTTTTTTTCTCTCATGATGTTGGTTTCCAACCTGTTCCTGTTTCTCAAGCTGCGCTGTGGCTCCCGGAGGCGGCAGCCAGGGAAGCTCTTTGTGGCCATCCTGCTCAACATCGTGCTGTTCTTCGCCTTTGGCATCCCTTTCTGCATGGAGGTTTTCCTCAATCTCCCTGATTCTGGTGATTTATTCCCAGAAAACACCTCCTTGCTGCTGGCATTGCTGAACTGCACCCTCAACCCAGTGATTTACGTGCTGGTGGGGAGCTGCCGGCGGCGCCGCTTCCAGCGCTCCGTCAGAGTCGCTCTGCGGAGGGTGTTTGAGGAGAAAGGCAGGAGTGACGAGGGGAGCCACGTCCCTGGGGACACTGTGGTGGAGGTGACAGCTCTGTGAGGCACTTCTGGACATGTGGCACCCAGAGATGTGGCACCTCAGAGACAGCCAGAAGTAAGGGAGCACATGGCTCTGAGCTCCGTCTTGTTCCTGTATTCCCCATGGAACAACCCTCATTGTCCCAGCCATAGGGAATAAACTCTGTTGATGAAGCAAAGATTGCAAAAATGGACAGGGCAAGGGGTGCTGTGTTGGTGATGGTGGGATTTGGTGTGTGGGGAGTAAGAGATGGGTGAAAATTACAATTTGGGGAAAAGAGAGTGGAAAAAAAGAGAGTGAAAGTGAGAGACAAAGAAAGAGGAAAAGGGAAAAAAGGAGGAAGGGGGGGGAGAGAGAGAGAAAAAAAATAAGAAAGAAAAAGTAAAGGAAGAAAAAATAAAGAAAAATACAAGAAAGAAAAAAGAACTCTAAGCAAGAGAATGAATGGAAGAGAAACAGAGAAAGAAAGAATGAAAGAAAACAAGGAAATAAGGAAGAAAGTAAAAAATAGAGATTGAGAATGACAAGGGACTTGCTTGGACAAGAGAGATGAAGAAGGATATGCCCAGTGTGCTAAATCCCCATAAATAGTTGGGTCAGTCTCACAGGGGCTGATCCTGCTCCCCCTGGAATCCTTGGAGGAAATGTTATTCACCTAAGCACAGCAGTGTTATACCAAAAACCACCTGGAATTAGCATTTATAAAATAAACTTGGCTTTTCTGTCCTTTTTTAGTAGACACTGACTAGAAAGTTTGTCCTGTGCCTTTTTTTTTTAAGTAAAAAAAAAATCACTTATCTGAGTTTATAGTCTGTGTGTTTTTATCAGCTGATAAATCAGATAACAACAACAGCAACTTTAAATACAATTTTTATCCCATTGGGGGAAAAAAACAACAAAACAACAAAAAAGAAACTTCTGGTCTTTTTCACAATACTTTTTTTTTTTTTTGTCCTAATGACAAAATCATTTGGGATATCAAAAAGATAACATTTTGAACATGAATTTGTGAGGTTTTTCAAAGACAATTACCCACGTTGACTTCTTCTAATGATTTTGATTAAAAGAATAAATGTTAGGCAGTCTGAGAGCACAAATAATCCAATTTTTTCCCTCAAAGGATTTGGTTTAGAGAATAATTTGTTGCAAATCATGGTATTTATTTACCTTGTTCTGTTTCCTGTATTTTTTCCCCACTATCTTTTGATTTATTTTTATTGTTAAAGAAGATTTTAAAGCCATGGATTCTGATCTGTCCTTTTAAAGGAAGAAATAACCACCCAATGCATGATGTAGATAAATGCAGAGACTCTGCCAAGGGCTGGAAGAAATTAAAATAACATGCAATAATATAATATAAAATAATAATCTCCAGTCATGTATTTCTTTGAAATACAAGACAACAGAGGATGAAACTCAGTGACTAAATTTTTAAAGCAAATTGGAAGGAGTTGGAGCCCTTTTCTTCTCTGTGGTGTGGAAACATCCCTGGTTCAGAGAAGAAATGGACTTGGTGGATGTGAATCTTTTCAGCCCCTGAAATGCTCACATTAGGAAGCCCTCTGTGAGCCACAAAAGGCTATGTGCGTGCTCAGACGTGGGAATTCTAAACTAAGAAGGATAGATGGATTCTTTTTCCAGGAACTTTATGTCTGCTTCCAACAGAAGGATTGTTCGTACTGATCTCATTTTCTGAGATCTGAGTGAAAAGCAACACTGAGAATTTATGAGTTTATGAATGACAAGGATTTATCCTGAGCAGGAATTCTTTGCTGAAATTCAGACACCAAGACATTTCAACCTTATCAAATTAATATTATTTAATAGTCACTAGAAAGAAACAGGAACTTTTAATGTATCCTAAATACAGGTCAGGTAAGTTCTGTGGTCCAGGTGCTTATGTGCCACAGATGGGGACTTAAAATAATGACCTAAAATATCTACAAAGAGAGTGCTGAGGGTCAAGTGACATGAACCTTCCCCAGTAACTCAGAGTTCTTCAGTTCTGCTAAGACATTCCAGGCAGGATTTTAGGAGGACATGGTTATTGTGTCTCGAGTTTCCCTCTCATCTCTGTCATCTGCTGAGTCTTGGAAGGCCCTCTGGAATGCCAGTCTGAGGGTGAGCCTGAATTTCCTATCCCTGTAGCTTCCCACCAGGAAGTAAATGACGGGGTTGAGGGTGCTGTTGACGCAGGACAGCACAAAGCCAATCTCTGGGGAATACAGGAACTTGTGGCCCAGGAAGTCCAGGAGGATGAGGACACTGAGGGGCACGGCAAAAATGAGAAAGAGGAGGATGGTGAGCATGATGACAGTGAAGAGCCGGCCTGTTTGGAAGGGCTGGGAGCTGCACTTGACCCGCAGGAAGAGGGTGAGGCTGAAGAGCAGCATGAGGGGCGCGCAGACGAGGAAATCCAAGGCTCCGATGGCGATGAGCAGGCGCTGGCAAACCCTGGGAGAGGGGCGAACAGTGCACAAAACATATCCCAGAGTGTTCAGGAGCAGGGACAGGGCCCAGAGCAGGCCGGACACCACGGCAGACAGGTGCTTCGGGCGGTGTGTCCGGCACCAGATGGGGGACAGCACAGACAGGCAGCGCTCAATGCTGATGGCAGTCAGCAGGTACAGGCCTGTGCCGTACATGAAGAGATCCAGGAAGAGGAATATCCCGAACTGCACCCCCACGTTGAACTGCATCAGGTACTGCACGGTCTCCACAGCGATGCACAGCAGGTACCCAAAGTCGGCGGCCGCCAGGTTCAGGATGTAGACAGTGAAGTGGTTCCTGCGAATGCGGAAGCCCAGGTACCACAGCACCAGGCCATTCCCCACCATCCCACAGGCAGCACTCAGCAGGCAGAAGCTCTCCATGAACTTGAGGACAGTGTAGGATGCCTCTGGTTGTCCCACAGCCCCACTCTGGTTGGTCCCAGGAGCCTGGACGGCTGTGGTTGGAAGGAGGATCGGTGTGGTTGAGGGTCCCATAATGGGTGATTCAGACCTGGGAGCAGAGAGGGGAGAGGTGGTAACTCCAGGGTGACTTTTCTAGAGGATTGCTTGGTGTGTGCCAAGGCTTTGTAGCTAGAACTTAATTTCATGGAATCTCAAAATAATTTGTTTTGGAAAGGACCAAGAGACTAGAGTAACAGGACAAAGGATAAAGGCTTCACACTGACAGAGTTTGGGTTTAGATGCGATATTTGGAATAAATTCTTCCCTGGGAGGGTGGTGAGGTTCTGGCATGGCTTGCCCAGAGAAACTGTGGCTGCCCCATTCCTGGAGGTGTCCAAAGCCAGGCTAGAGCAAACTGGGATAGTGGAAGGTGTCCCTGCCCATTGCAGGGGTTTGGAACTGGATGATCTTTAAGGTCCCTTCCAGCCCGAACCACTCTGGAATTCTGTGATTTCATGAGAACAACAGACAGTTTTTTATATTGATGAGTGATTTGTGTTTTAATAAAGTGCCATTTGATGTGGTTTTCCTGGGTCCCATGTACAGTAACAGATAAACATTTTGGTCTGACAGAGCCCTCAGCTTCTCCCCCAGAAACTGCAAGAACCACATGTAAGAAACCACGGATTATCTCGTCCTCACAAGACATGGGAGTTGTGGCTCTGATAATTTTTCAACACCATTCCATGAGTTAGGTCACTGTTTCCTTCTCTATGGTACTGAGATCTGATTGAGAATCTTGGGGGTGAAAAAAAATGTTTAACACCTTTGTTTTGGTCTGACAAGAACAAATACAGTGGTTCTTCTGCTGTCTCCCTAACAGCTGTTAATTTGGACATGGAAGGAAGAGAAGTTAAAAAGAGGAGAGGAACAAAAAAATGGGGTTTTCTGGGAAGATGTGAATCACTGAACCATGTAGCCAGCATGAATCCTCTGTTCTCTCTTTCTGGTGCAGCAGCACACATGGAGACAGACTTCCAAAAGCACCCAGAACATGACAGACTGAATCACTGCTGTTCCATCCCAGCACCCCAGGCACACTGACCCCATGGACAGAGGGAAAATAAGTGTGGTGCAGGGAATTTCAAGGCCAGGTTGGATGGGGCTTGGAGCAACTTGGGCTAATGGAAGATGTCCCTGCCCATAGCAGGGGGTGAGACTGAAGGGGCTTTAAGGTCCTTTCAACCCAAACTATTTGAGGATTCTATGATTTTCTGTAGGGTTGATTGAAACCAGGGAATTTCTGGCACTGCAGAGCTGGATGATCCCATCCTCAGCTCTTACAGCACCAGAAGCACTTGTAATATGAAGACTGGAGAGCGGCCCTGTGGCTGTTTCTCCCTCACAACTTGCTCCAGGGGAGGCCACAAATGATCACATTTTTTCAGAAATTATCAGAAACAGCCTTAAGTCCTGTGCAACTTTTCTGCTGAGAGAACAGAGGAAGGCTCGGTGGTTAAGTGGTTTCCTGGCTTCTGTGCAACCAAATTTCTACTCGATCTGAAGAGGTGTGAACATCTGAGTGTCACCTAAGCACTGTCTTAGCAGTCTGCATAAGTGCATCTCTCTCCACTGGGGATTCAGGGAATGACAGGTAATTATTTCCCAATGTTAAATGGCTTTTTGCCATTGATCCATGTCATAGAATCATGGAATGGTTTGGGATCTTAAAGCTCATCTTGTTCCAACCTCCTGCCACAGCCAGGGACACCTTCTACAGATCAACCTTCTACAGGTTGCTCCAAATCCCTGCCAACCTGGCCTTGGACACTTGCAGGGATAAGGCAGCCACAGCTCCTCTGGGCAACCTATGCCTCACCACCTTCACAGATTTCCTCCCAAGATCTAATTCAAATCCACCATCTTCTAGTTTAAAACAAATTCCCCTTGTCCTGTCACTCCAGGCCCTTCTCCAAAGTCCCTCTCAAGCTGCCTTGGAGCACCTTTACGCACCAGAAGTTGCTGTAGGTGCATAAAGACTGCCAGGAACAGAAACGGCTGCAACAGGTAAATGACAAAACATCAATAGTTTTGCCTTCTGCTGTAATAGGAGTGGCAAAATCCTTCTCTTACTTCTTCAGATCATGGAGAAGAACACTGCAAAAGTCACGCATTATTCTCATTTATTTTTCATATTCCCTCGGAAAGACTGAATTCCTGTCTCCAAGACACATTCAAGACATGATTCTACTTCCTTATGTAACTAATAAGTGAAAGCTTTCCTCAAACGGCAGCAGCCTGAGTCCAGGTGGTCTTTTTCTCTCTTGAGATTAAACATCCTCCCTGTGGTCTGCCTGCAAATCCTTCCTGTAGTTCCTGAGGCAGAACAACTCTGACCCCACAAAGATGTCTCAGACTATGGACAGAAGGTTGTTGTAATACCAGGTCCCTGAGTAATGACTTTTTATATTACAGAGGTGCATTTAGAGCAATTCAAGAGCACTTGTACATGAAAAGAATCCCTGGAATGAAGCTTTCTTTATATTGAAAATTATTATCATCAATTCCTGACCTACAGCAAATTTCTGTCCAGCAAGGGAAGTAAATATTTGATCTCTTTTCCTCCACTGTTTTTGTTTCTCCTCCCTTCCCCAAAGACTGACAAAAACTGTCAGAGTGTAATGGCAAAGACACATCTCAGAATTTCTCACCTTTTTTTTGGACTTTCAGTGCCTGTGCCCAGCAATGTTGTCCTCTGGATTGTGTGACATAGGGTGCAGCTCAAGTCCTTGTGTCATCCTGCAGTGCTGGGCTGGGCAGCCACTGTTTAAAAAGCCATGATGTTTTCAGTGTGACCCTCCAGGCAGCCAATCACTCATGGGGGAAATACCTCCTCTCTGTGGGTATGACCACTCAGACTTGAACCACTTCCCCCTCCCCTCTTTGCAGTGTCATGGAAACATTATTTTTTTACAACTTCTCCCTTCTCAGCTGTTCTTGCAAGAGCTGTCCATACAAATGTTGCACTGGTGTTGTGTCCTATTCGAGGCCCTGAGATGCTCTGGTTTCGCAGCCCCTGAAGATGAAGTTTTAGTGCTGCTCAAGTAGAGAAATTTTAACTCCTCTCCCATAATATCTTTGCTGGAGCTGTCACACATCTGTCACCACAGTGGGTCCTCTTTTGACCCACAGCCTCTCCCAGCACAGTTCAGCAACTTACTGCTGCTTCATGCAACCTTACACCCACACTTCCCACCTCAATAATTTCAGATACCCAAACCCTGCTTGTGCTGCCCTCAACATGGAGCTCTGGGGTCAGGAGCTCTGTCAGTGCACCTTCATACCCCACTGCCTTTCAGCACACTGCCTTCAACACCTCAGGCACTTACGATTTCACAAAATCCCTCCAGCCCCATGCCTTTCACTTCCAATTTCACAACTTCCCCCTGAACAGAGCTTCAGGCTCTTCCTCACCTTGTGTCTCCTGAACAGACAGAACCCACCAGCACCCACCCACAACATCCCAGTCCTGTCCATGCACTCAATGTCCAGGAGCCATCCAGATCCACCTGCCAAAGGGCACGGAAACAGAGAAAATGTCTTTCTCCTTTCCTGACATCCTTACAGGAAACTATTCTGGGGAAGTACCAGCCTCTCTTCTTAGTCCCTTGGGCCAGGGAAGTAAAGGGACAGGAATGTGACACCACCCAAATCGCTGCCATGTATGTCAGTGGGCACAGGAATGGGCAGATTTGGGGTAAGTCCAAATTTGCTTAGCAGGTCAGAAACACATTTGTACATCTTCAGCTTCTTTTGTCATCTGTTCTTCCTCTTCCTTTCTCAAAGATTGTAAGACTGGTTTTACTTTCTTACCAAATGCTACTTCCTATAGTGGTTACTGTCAACCCTCATTAACCTGGCCAGGACTCCAGGCTATTGGGTAAAATTATATTTAAAATAAAACACTCTTTTTATTTCAGAGCACTATTTAATCTCCTCTTTAATTTGAGGGTTTCCATTTTCTCTGCATGAATTGCTGGCATTCCATGTTGGGAGACATTCAAAATGCCTTTGTTGTTATTGGGCCATCCTGAATTTCAGTAAATGTCAGAAAAACAGAGATGGGCAGTGGATGAAACTATTTATTGATGCACCTAAATCACAAATTGAAAATACATAGTACACTTCAGAGCAGTTTTGGGTTGAAGTAATACACAAATTCATTGAGCTCTGGAATGGTTTGGGTTGGAAGGGACTTTAAAGCTCATCCAGTTCCACCCCCAGCCATGGGCAGGGACACCTTCCACTATCCCAGGTTGCTCCAACCTGTCCTGGAACACTTCCAGGGATGGGACATCTTCTCTGAGCAACCTGTGTCAGGGCATCAACACCCTCAGAGGAAAGAATTCATTACCAATAACCCATCTAAACCCACCTTCTGTCATTTAAAACCATTTCCCCTAACTGATTAGGTGAATAGATCATTTTCTTTCCGGAGGAAAGCCTGGAGTGGCAAAGGCTGAACTCAGCTGACTTCCACTGATGTACAAGAGCTGACTTCCTCCCCTCCCTCAGTTTCCCAGATTGTAAAATAAGGATTTTTTTTTTACTTATTCTTAACTTCACTGACCTTTGCTGAAACATGCAAGTTCTTGCAAAAGGCCTTATTCCTGGGTACCCAGTGATGAAATTTCATAGAAAAAGGGACTTGGAGGGTCATCAAGAAGTGACCCAAGCCACCTTCTGTCTCTCTTCTACTTAATACTAGAAACCTCCCAGATTAATTTTTTTTTTTTTTTTCATGAGGGCTTGTGGAGTTTTTTTTTGGGATACACAATGATTTAAAAATCCTCACAATTTTATTATTACTCACAGTGCTATAAATCCCAAGCTGTGGATCCAAAAGGCTTTTACACTTGGGAAATGCACACAACATGGATTAACGGCAGAGTCGGGGAATGCTAACTTGACCAGGTCACATCATATGCCCAATTTAATATTCATCTAATCCATTGGCTGTTATTTCCAAGAATCATGGAATTGTTAAGGTTGGAGAAGCCCTCCAAGGTCACTGAGTCCAACCATTCCCCAGCAGTGCCACCATTAACACATGTCCCCAGGTACCACTTCCACATGTTTCAAATCCCTCCAGATTCATGGTGATTCCAGCACTGCTCTCAGTAAAATGTGCCAGGGCTGCACCACCCTGTGAGTGAAGAAAATTTTCCTCAAATCCATTCTAAACTTCACCTGGCAGGGCAGGATTAATTTCTCCTCTGAGCATTCTCTGAGCATCCACACCTCCCTCCTCCGGCCCCAAGAGCCCTTGAGCTGGGAGATTTCCTTGGAGAGGGTGGAGGAGGTCTGCATAAACAGGGAATTAAGCCCTGGAGGAGGGAGATTTCCTTGGAGAGGTTTGAGGAAAGTTACTTAAACAGTATTTTTTCTCTCTGCTTACTGGGTTGTCTGTGCACCCTTCAGTGCCCACACTACCTCCAAGCAGCTCTAAAAGAGGCAGGAAAAGCCAGGATATGCTTGGTGATACAAGAAAGCAAGGAATTAAATTAGGTGGGATTTAAAAAGGCACCTCCTAAGGAAGTGTTGGAAGCTTTTCAGAAGCTGTTCTATGTTCTTTAAAGCCTCTGCCAGGAAAAGGAGGTGTTGGGGACATAAAATCTTACAGTTCTTACACAACATTAGATCTCCAAACAGAGAGGAGGTAAGTTTTCCAGGATCTTTTCCCTTTCCTCTTTTCTTTCCTTTTCCTGATTTCCTTTCCTCTTTTTTTTTTTCCTGCCCTTCTTGACAAATGTGAAAATACAAAAAGAAATTTCCCCTGAAGCTGTCAACCATCCCTGGCTCTCTTTGGCTGTAATCATGTGCACAACTGGTTTTGCAGTCCCAAATCAGGTTATTGAATTCTTTTTCAATTAACCACCTAAGATTTTAGGGGAAAACCCTTGCAATAAGGGGAAGGTGCAATCCCTTATCCTTTTTTTTTTTTTTTTAATTATAACAGTCCACATTGTATTTATTTATTTATATAGAGCAATTGATTGCACTATATCATGTATCTCAAGTCAGTGACTGAAAAAATTATTTTAGAGGTAAGACCCCCATTTTATCGCCTTTCTTGAGTATGTTTTACCTCCTGTCAGTAAAAATGCAAGCACAGGAAAAGTCCCAGACTTTCCCAACTTCCTCGTTAGGCTTCACTTTTTTGAGTTTGAGAGCAATTTTGTTTCTTCTACATTTCAGCATTTCCTGTGTGCGCTTGATCAGCTTTTTGCTCTACAGGACTTTCTGATTTTGCTCTATTTTAAAATCATAAAATAGGAGCCTGGATCAGATGGATCCAATCCCGAAGGGATCCAGTGGGTGGCATCCCTGCCCATGGAAGTGAGGTTGGAACTAGGTGGTCTCTAGGTTTGGTCCCTTCCAACCCAAACCATTCCAGGAGTCTATGATTCTATGGCTGTGCCTCATACAAGGCAAATTAAATACGTAGAGGGGGAAGAACAACAAAAAAACAAAAACAAATTTAAAAAGTACTTGATAGACTTAATGCTAATACTATGTATTTCTTAGAGAGAATGCACTTCTGATAAAGAATTATTTTTTAAGAAAGAAAAAACTGATGAATCATTTTGTCTTTATCTTTCCACATTTCCAGGCTCTGCACTGCACATTGCTCAGTAGATTGGTAAAGAAAACTCCAGCAGCATGAAGGAATTCATCCTCCTGGGCCTCTCAGAGAACCAAGGAGTGCAGAAAATATATTTTGTGTTGTTCCTGATTTTCTACATTCTCACAGTGTCAGGAAATTTCCTCATAGTTCTCACTGTGAAGAGCAGCCAGCACCTGAACTCCCCCATGTACTTCTTTCTCTGCCACCTGTCCTTTGTAGATGTTTGTTACTCCTCTGTCACAGCTCCCCAAATGATTTCTGGCTTCCTGGTGGAAAATAACACCATTTCCTTTGCAGGCTGCATAGGGCAGCTCTTTGGGCTTCATTTTTTTGGCTGCACAGAGACTTTCATCCTGACAGCCATGGCCTACGACCGCTACGTGGCCATCTGCCGGCCCCTGCGCTACCCCGTTCTCATGTCCCACCGCCTGTGCGGCCGTATGGTGGGGGTCTCCTGGGCAGGGGGCTTCCTGCATTCCACTCTCCAGACCCTGCCCTGCTTCCTTTCTGTGGCCCAAAGTCCCCCACTACTTCTGTGATGTCTGTCCCCTGCTCCACCTGGCCTGTGCCGACACGCATGCCGAGGGCCTGGCCGCGGTGGCCAACAGCGGAGTCATATCCCTGAGCTGCTTCCTCATCCTGGTCACGTCCTACGTGGTCATCCTGGTTTCCCTGAGGGGCCAAACGCTGGTGGGGTGGCACAAGGTCCTGTCCACGTGTGGGTCCCACGTCACTGTGGTGATCCTGTTCCTTGGGCCCAGCACTTTTGTTTACATCCGCCCATCCAGTGACCTGTCCAAGGACAGGAGCGTGGCCTTGTTCTACACGCTCATCCCACCCATGCTCAATCCCCTCATCTACACCCTCCGGAATAGGGAGGTGAAGGGAGCCATGAGGAAACTGTGCAGGAGGAGAGTGGGAAGCGAAAATGGGAAGGGGTAGGGCTGTGGTCATGTTCCTAAAGGATCAGAGAAAATCAAGCATGTTTTGCTATAATTTCTTCTGTGACAATGCCCTAAAACATGCCTTTCAAAGAATAGCTGGCTGTTGTCTCCTGCTGTCATTAGGAAGGCACTAAAAGTTCTTTTTATGATGGGAAAAACATTGGGAACTCTGGCATTCCCTTTCTATTGCTTGTCAATGAACACAGGCCCAGACCACAGCCTCCTGAGCAACTGCAACATCAGTGCTTAAATACTGTTAAAAATACTGAAAATGTTATCCAGGTAGAACATCCCATAAGAAAAAAAAAACAAAAAACCAAAAAAACCCTGATATTAAGAGCTAGTTGGGTGGTTTGCTGATGAAGGAACAGGAGGGGAAATTTCTCCCCTTCCTCTCCCACTTCAACAAATCCTTTCTGCCCCATTCCAGGCCAGGCTGGATGGGGCTGGGATCAACCTGGTCTAGGGAAAGGTGTCCCTGCCCATGGCAGGGGGTTGGAATGAGATGGTCTTTAAGGTACCTTCCAACCCAAACAGCTATTCTGCAATTCCATAATTATCCTGTAATTCTATCTACTTCACCTATCTCTAGCCAAGACAGCACTAAATAAAATAAATGTATTTTTAAATGCTTTAGAGGCGAACACCAGTGGGGTTTTTTTAGAGGTCTCACTTCTGGGTGCTGCTGAGCAAATATTCACCCATAGCATATAGAAGGTGGCACTGGAAACAGTATCAAGCTCTTCTACACTTCGCCAAGAATTCTTACAAGAATTTCATACTTAAGCTCAAAAGTTGCTTCTGTGCTTTACTGTGTCAGTAAAAATACCTGGTGAGCAAGGAAAGCTCTCCACAAACCTTTGTGCATTTTTTGAAGTGATTTCCTGAATTACTTCTTGTTTTAAAGTTGTAAGTCAGGTGTCTAAGGGATAACATCAGTGATATTTTTGCTTTGTGCTGTCAACATGTAAGTTAGTAGGAAATAAGACTGTAGATGAGAAATCCTGGGTTAGGACAGAAAGCAAAATTTGTATCCATTTATATGAATTTATATTAATGTTCTATGTAAGAGACATCTTTACTCTGACGTCTGTCTCCAGGGTCTACACTAATAACTACCCAAAGAACAATTTTAGCTCTTTGCCCACTGATGATTTCTGACAAAACTCCTTTTGCCTCTGGGATCTCATTACCCCTGATAGTCTTGTGTGTGATTTACTTGAACTATTTCTGCTACAGAAATAATTGTACTTGTAGATACTCCTGGAGGTTTTTTGTTGTTTTTTTTTTTTTTTGCAGAAAGGGAAATACACACAGAAGGTTGGGCTGTTCTTTTCAAGGCTCAGAGTTGGCAGAGATAGAGATGCTTATAACTTCTGAGCAGTACCTTACAGAGGGTTTCTGATGGAACTGAGAGGTTCTGATGGAACCCCCTGAAGTGGTTTGGGGAGGTCGTCAGAGGAGCGACAGCAAGTGAGCTCTCTGGAAGTGTTCTGAGATTGTTCCTTTGTTTTGCTCAGGCCCCACTGAAATCCTGCCTTTGCAAAGCAACATTGCTGGTGAGTGACTTTTGTGAGGTCTATTTTATGATTTAGGGGGAAAAAAAATAAAAATCAGTTACAGATTTAGAATCCCAGAATGGTTTGGGTTTGAAGGCACCTTAAAGCTCATCTTTTTCTGGCCCCCTGCCATGGGCAGGGCCATTGACCAGGTTGCTCCAAGCCCTGTCCAGCTTGGTCTTGAGCACTTTCAGGAATATCACACACTAGTGATCTTTGTGTTCTGCATGAAAATGCTCTAAGGGTGGATTTGTAGGTGTTTGTCAGTAAGGAGGGTCATCAACATCTCATTCACTACCCCAGCGTAACTACAGGTGTATTTAGGGGGTGTTCCACACCACAACCAGGACCTGGGTATTATTTCTACCACCATCTCAGGTAAATAATCAGAGCCTGTTATTATGCATGTCAGTGAAATACTCTGGCTTGGATTTCACTGTTACTCCTTTAGGGAAGCATTGGCTTTAAACTGAAATTGTCCCAAAAAGGCAGCAGAAGAAATACAGTAGATATTCAACATACCAGAGGAAAATGTGTGAGTCCTGTTAATGTCCCCTGTCTAATGATCTGGACTTTTAGATCTTTTAAGGCAGCTTTATTTAATGCTGTTAGCATCATAAACATCTGTTTTCTTTCTTGTAACCTCCTGCTTGCTGAGTTATAAACTCCTTGGCAGAAGAGAAGGAATTTCCTGGAGTGATTATAAATGGACAAGTGCATTCCTCTGCTGGTCCCACTTTAACCTCCACAGGACAGTGAGTGTATTTGTCTACTGAAAAACTTTAAAAATTCCTTTAAAAAATAGAGAGGTGGAGAAACCGTGTGGGGTTTTGTAGCTTTTGCTGTGTTAGAAACCCCAATTGCTCCAGTGAGGAACCTCCCAGACCTGGTTTCTGCGCATGTATTTCCATCTTCAGAATGGATAACTGGAGAGCCCTTTCCTCAGTTTACAGGAGTGTCATTAGGATCAGAACATGGAACAGCTCATGCTTAAGAATGACAGCATTTGCTTCAGTCATGGCACTTCAAATTTCCAGCAGGAAAAAGGACAGCACAGCATTTTTCCAGCATTCATGGTTCTTGTTACCTGAGAGCAGGATGTGCTGGAATCACCATTCCTGAAGGGATTTAAAAGCAGTATGGATACAGCACTTGGGGACACGGTTTAGTGGAGGACTTGGCATTGCTGGGGGGATGACTGGATGCAATTGTTTTACAGGGCTTTTCCAACTAACAATTCCATGATCCTGTGATTTCTCCCTGACAGAATGGGAGCACACCAACTACAATGCAGGAAAATTGTGGTCAGAGTGAGTTCAGGGCAGAAGGTCAGTGCAGAGGGGCCAGAGACCTGAATAGGGACAGAAGAGGGGGTGACTGCAAACTCTGCTTTCTGTCATTTATGACATGACATTTTGCTTTCTGCAGCAGTAAATGTATCCTGCTCACATCATCGATGAGCCTTGGAGCTGTAGCACATTCCCTTCCCTTCCTGACCTGTGCCATGGGAGTCTGAGCTGCAGCAATGACACAGGACAACTTCTCCCAGGTGACTGAATTCATCCTCCTGGGGCTCTCTGACACACAGGAGCTGCAATTCCTCTTCTTCACCCTCTTCCTCCTAGCCTACGCCATGGTCCTGCTGGGCAACCTCCTCATCATCGTGACAGTCAGGGCTGACCCCAAGCTCTCCTCGCCCATGTACTTCCTCCTCTGCAATCTGTCCTTCATTGATATCTGCTACACCTCTGTCACTGCTCCCAGGGTGCTGGTGGCCCTGCTCTCAGGACACAAAGCCATTGCCTTTGAGGGCTGCATAACCCAGCTGTTTTTCCTGCACTTTGTGGGTTCCTCGGAGATGTTCCTCCTGACGGTGATGGCGTTTGACCGCTACACCGCCATCTGCAGGCCCCTACACTACACGGCCATCATGGCCCGCAGGGCCTGCTGGGCCCTGGTTGCTGCCTGCTGGGTTGGGGGCTTTATCCATTCCATTGTCCAGACCGTGCTCACACTCCAGCTGCCCTTCTGTGGCCCCAACATGATCCACAGCTATTTCTGTGACATGCTACCCGTCGTCCGCCTGGCCTGCACTGACACCACCCTCACCGAGTGGCTCATGGCCTCCAACAGCGGCCTCATATCCCTGGGCTGCTTCCTGGTGCTGGTGGCCTCCTACATGCTCATCCTGGCCAAGGTTCGGGCCTGCCTCTACCAGGGGCACTGGAAGGCCCTTTCCACCTGCGCCTCACACGTCATGGTCGTCACCCTGCTCTTCATGCCCTGCATCTTCACCTACCTGCGGCCTGCTGGGACCTTGCCCACCAACAAGTATATCTGTGTCATCTACACAACCTTCTCACCCATGATGAACCCCCTCATCTACACCCTGAGGAGCAGTGAGGTGAAGGAATCCATGTGGAGACTGTGGAAGCGCTGCAGAGCCTCCTGAGACAAGCTCAGTTGGCAGAACCCTGGAGTTACACCCAGAGTTAACACCTGGAGTCACATTCCTACTCAACTCCTACACAATAATGACTTAGTGGCTAAAGCCTGAAGACTTCAAATTATGTACAAATACATTTATATACCAATATAACTATTAATATTAAAAATTCATGCTGAAAACTCCGAACTTCTGAAACACTCTCACTCGTGTGGGATCATAATTTTCAAATAAATATATAAATGAGTCCAGGGTGAGGCTTGTCTCCCTCTCTGACATGCTTTTCCTGTGTTGTGACAGCAGATAGCAGAGGTACATGCACTAAATGTCCCCAAATTCACCCACCAACCCTGGAAGATAAAGACAGCACAGATTCTGCTTGTAGGGTTTTCTTTCGACATGTAAGACTATTTTTAGTCACAATTCTCTCACAGAAGTGGATTATTAAAACCATTAAAAACCTTATATAAAACCATTAAAAGCATTATATAGAGGAAGGAGAAGGAGTGGAGACAGACTTGGGACAAGGGCATGGAGGCAGGACAAGAATGGCTTCACACTGAAACAGGGTGGGTTTAGATGGGATATTGGGAATAAATTCTTCCCTGCGGTGGCATGCATTTCCCAGAGAATCTATGGCTGCCCTGCCCCTGGGAGTGTTCTTGGATGGAGCTTGGAGAAATTTGGGATATTGGGGATAGTGGAAAGTGTCCCTGCCCATGTCAGGGCGTTTGGAATGGGATTGTCTGTAAGGTCCCTTCCAACCCAAACTGCGTCTATGAGGGCAGCAGTCACATCACCAAATCAGGGATAGAAACTCAGTGATTGCCATGAGGGGAACACCATCAGTTTCTTTGTGCTAGAATGATTTAACATTGGATTCATTCCACCTAAATAAAATAATGGAAACACCGAGGTTGGAAAAGCCCACTAAGATCATCAAGTCCAACCATTCCCCAGGGCTGCTAAGACCACCACTAACCCATATCCCCAAGTGCCACATCCACACAGCTTTTAAATGCCTTCAGGGCTAGCAACTCTACCACTTCCCTGGGCAGCCTGTTCCAGGGCTGGAAAACCCTTCCCATGAAGGCATTATTTCTAATATCCAACCTAAATTGCTGCACAGGAAGTGAATTTCCACTTCGCATGTCTCTACGTGCTGTCTTAAATTAGCCCTCACTCCCACACCTGTAGGAAGAGGAGGATCAGAAGCATCAGTGAGTCATCGAACCTCCTGGTTAAGAGATATTTCCAAACAACTCCTGTCCTTGTGCAAATGAGACTTCTTTTTAATAGTGATTTTCTACTCAGCATCATCATAGAATGGCTTGGGCTGGAAGGGAGCATTTTTTTTAGTATTAGAGAAAAATGTTGAAAAATTAACGTGTTCTTTAGGTCAGTTGGGATAAAATTCAATTGAGAAAAAATGTATCACTGTGGTAATTTTTTTAAACATTCTAATAAAGTTTTTATAAATATTTTATTCATAAATCAATGCAAAACAAATTGGAGAGTTGTGGTCCAGTTATTTTGCTGGTGTCAATTTATATACCAGGTATAAACTGGGGGCATCAGCAGTGAACTAATTTGAAATAATTGCTCCGATTTTGATAAAATAAATAAAATTTCCATCTTTTTGGGAGCTGGGATTTCAATACAAGGGGCTTGGAACAACCTGATCCAGTGGAATGTGTCCCTGCCCATTGCAGCGGGTTGGAATGGTATGAGCTTTAAAGTCCTTTCCAAGCCAAACCATTCCATGAAGATAAACAATTTAATAGAATTGATTTTTCTCCCCTGGAAACATCTTGGGATGACTTTAACAAGGCCTCAGAAGATGCTGTTAAAAAGTTGGTGCCTGACAAATTGCAAAGGTGCAGCTTTAGCAGCTGAGTTTGTCCCTGTGTATAAATTGGGTCCACTGCGCACCATTAAAATCCCAAGTTCTTTCTCTCCTGGAAATTAATGGCTCTGTGAGCTCACCCTCAGATTTATTTCCCTCACCTAGAGGACAGTGAAAAATGGCCTCAAAGGGAAAAAAAAATCCTTTGAGAACTGGCAGGATCTCTACAATGCTTTTGTTAAATCCCAAGAAGTCTGAAGAGATCCTAGGCTAATCAGTTTTATTTAAAGACTATGAGATTGAAACACAAATGGACATCAGAGAAAAGGCAGCATTTTCAGTAGACTCTAATCAGTCTGAGCTCATCATAAGCATTCCTAGATGGAAATCTCAAAAAAATTACAAAGCTGGGTAGTTCCAGAAGTGGACAAAATCAAATCACTTTGGTGTATCATAGTGGGGATGGCAGGGAGGGGTGGGCAACAGGGAAAGAGGGGTCTAATCCAGCCTATCAATTAGTGCACATCTGGATTCTGCAAATAGAGATGTTTTTGTTGTTATTTGTTATGGGGTGTTGGTTTTTTTAAATTAATGTTAATAATAAAATATAATGCAATATAATTTTTATTTATTTACCCTGAGGCAGAACATTTCAAAAACTATCTTATGTTTCTACCTGTAATAACCCAGCTAAGATTATGCCTGCAAACAGTCAACTTAGATGTAGAGTTGAGAGCCTGAGTGCCTAGCACCTTGAGGAGGCTAATGCATCCCATCCCAAAAGAAACATTTAAGATTTATGAGTGGAACAGAATCACAGAATGGTTTGGCTCTTTCTGGCATCTGGGTTTATTGCAAAACTCCATGAGAAGTGTGATGCATGATGGTCCTTGGGCTAACTGCAGCACACAGGGAAAGGTCTGGACCATAGGGATTTATTCCAGCTACAGCTCTGCACTCCCATGGCAGGATAGGCCGGTGGTGTGTGACCCTTGGGGAATTCCAGTTTATAGAGTCCTGGAATGGTTTGGGTTGAAATGGACCTTAAAGTTCATGTTGTTCCACCTTCTGCCATGGGCAGGGACACCTTCCACTATCCTAGGTCTTCCAAACCCTTGGACACTTCCAGGGATGGGGCATCCACAACTTCCCACGGCAACCTGTGCCAGGGCCTCACCACTCTCACAGTGGATATTCTAATTCCTAATATCCAATCTAAATCCCTCACCTTTCAATTTAAAACCATTCCCTCTTGCCCTATCACTCTTTGCCCATGTAAGATGCAGAATCTTTAATTCTCCAGGAGTTTGCAAACACAGCAAACAGGCTGGAAGAATGATGGACAGCCAGAGTTCTTCATGTGAACAATGCAGAATTTATGGTCATGTATTGCTGGAATAGGAACAGGCCTGTTCCCAGTCCTGGACATCACATGCGAAGTGGCACTCCCATAAATCACACATGGATGCTTAATGGAACCAGAGGGGAATTTTTGTTAGATCTTCAAAGTTGTGCTGGTAATTTTGGTTCCTTCAATTTCCAGCCTCTTTTGGCAATGTGCTGAAAACCCCCTCATACATGCAATTAAGGGAACATCAAAAAAAAGTGTCCAGATGCACTTGTCCCCAGACACTCCCTCATATTTATAAATACTCATTAAAGAAGAGAGGTGCCTACTCCTGCAGCCAAGCCAGCCCTTGTGCCAGTGCTGGCAGGTCTCTGTGTGAATATTCCAACACTGCTCTATCGGGATTCATCTCGTCCTTATGAGCAAAATAATTTTTAAGTCACATAAAAATATAGAAAGAAGAAAAAGGATTGTTTTGTTTCCTGGAGATACAGACAACTATAAATACCTGCAATTAATTCTGTATAGCAGTGAGTATTTCTGTGTTGTTTCTGTGCTATTTCACCTGATGAGCTCCCCATTTTATGAGTAAGTGGTGTCCCTTTTATTTCTGCTGAGTTAACTATTTCTCAGGTAGTTTAAGCCCTGACTTTGCTCCCTCTCAAGCTTCTGGGAGAACATGAGACCACAGAGGAGCCTGCCCAGATGAAATATTTCATCAATATATTTATCTCTGTATCTCTTAAAAATGAGAATGTAGTACAATATTCCCACCATCTCAAAATCAATCCAAAAGTCTCCCGAAAAGGAGGCACTCAGACTGAACTTTGCTTTCCCTCCCTACAGGGCAGGTATGTAAATCCTTACTGTAAATACTGAGCTACATTCCATGGAGCAGGGTAAATGGGAAGATCCTTTAATGCCACATTTAGACTTCTTTGAATTGGGGAAAGGGGATGGGGGAAAGCCCAGATAGATGCTAGAAGTACTGATGGTATTATGGATATCTGGAGGGTAGAATTTATAGAAAACTGGGAGGTCTTTAATGGGATTAATGGGATGCCAAATTGTAACTTTTTTTAAATGACAGAATCATAGAATGGTTTGGGTTGAAAAACACCTTAAAGTTCAGCTGATTCCAACCCACTGCCGTGGGCAGGGACACCTTCCACTAGACTAGGTAGCTCCAAGCCCCATCCAAAAGCTGAAAAAAAACCCCCAAAATCCATCTATCAACTGATTATAAGGGATTTAACTCTTCTCTAACAGCATTATTCCATTAAAAAGCAAGTTTTAGCTTCAGTTACTAATCTAGACTCTTTTAGTGATAATAACACTAAACAGTTTATGTTGAAAGGAATTTCAGGGATCTATACCACACTCCCCTTGCTCAGAGAACCTTGAAAGCCCCGTGGTGTTGCCTGGGGCTGTGTCCAAGCTGGACACCACAGGGAAGGTAACTTTAACTTTCAGCTCTTCAGTCTGAGGTGGCAACTTGTAAAAACTAACATTCTGGATTATCCAAAAGTGATAATGTAATGATAATGTGATAATGTGAAGTGTAATACCTACATTTTGCCTTTTGCATTAGGAATATGTGGGTAAAATTTAGATTTTGAGTGTGGCAATGCTTGGAAATAGTTTTGAACTTCAAAGTGGACAAAAATCCCCTCACAATATTTAAAATGGGGAATGAAATTGTGATTAATTTACACCTTCTTTATTCCAGGGAAACCTCTGTCTCATTCCCACAATGATGCAGAAGGTCAACCTCTCAACAGTATCCGAATTTGTTTTCGTGGGCCTCTCTGA